TGCTTGATCTTAAAATATCAACAAGCTGATATTTCTAAAAAAAATATTTTGAACTAGCATGAATGATGAACAGGAATTTCAACAGACCTTAAATGAGAGTTAATTAAAAGCTGATTATTATGTTAGTAATAGCAACAAGCATCTATTCACATGTTAAACTTTTAAATAAATGCAGTGGTTCCAATAAACTGGATGTTATAATATTTCAGAATGACAATACTTGTAGTTGGATGATTTACATTAATACTGACTGATTATTTTAGTAATTTGAATATTTAACTACCTTTTTAGAATAGGGAACTAAATGATGAGAATTTGATGACAAGACAAAGGGCTGTTATGTCGCTCTGTGACCACTTGCATGACCCTGAACACATTGCAGAAGCTTTAAAAGTTGGTAAGAAGCTTTTTCTATATTCCTAGCCTAAATTTTAAAATGAAGCCAGACTTTTCTTGTCTAATTAAAGATTGAAACCATGATTTTATTTTGCTATTTCTGTATTAATTTTCAATTTTAAAGCACTGGTTTCATGTTTTATTATCATACTACATAAAAGTAAATGCATCATTGACAGTATTCAGAATTATTCCCAAATTCAGGTTTTTTAGACTTCCAAAAGCCATTTTTATAACTAAGCTGTAAACCAAATGTGAAATTATCAGGATTTTTCTAATATCCAACTTTCAACCTTGCTTATGTTATCATTTTAAATCATTATTATATAACTATACTTCACTAATAAAAGAAAATTTTTGTTATATATGTATTCAAATATTTACAAATGATAATGTTGTAGTTTAAATAATACTCTGAAAATCTGAATCAAACTTGTGATATACAGAACATTTAGCCATGATTGAACTTTTGACTTCATTATAGGTTTTGTTGCATTTAAATTTTATATCTGCTTAATATAATGATATATATTAATTTATATAAAATAGATAAACATGTCTACAAATTTATTTTAATATATATAATGTACTCGTTCTTCTAGTGTGTTATTTTTAACATTACAAAATAATAAAAGAATGCCTTTGATTTTATGTTTAATCTTTAACTTACTATGCATGTCAATATCTGTACTAATGTATTTTCAAAGTGTCAGGAGCATAATTTGTGAAGTGATTAAAATTTGTTCAGACATGAATTTTCAAACTAATTTGAAGACTTGCAACTTGGATGATCTAATTTAATCCAGATATCATAGGCATGTTTTTATTATCATTATTGCTTTATTTAATTGGCCTTTGATCAAAATATAAATCTTCTAGGTTTATCATCATTCTACGTTGTTTTGTTTTTTTGTATGTGTTAGAGATAATTTTGATGAAAAGTACCTTGTTGATTTTACAGAAAATCTTGATATAAAAGAATAATTTTAGATTTTGCTTAAATTTGACAATTACATATACATGTGTATGTATAATAAAATAAAGCCAGTAGTAGTTAAATTTTGTTTGTCATATTATATGATACCATAAGTTTAGTAGCAATATTAACATTAATGTATTTTTATTTTAATCAAATTTACATGTGTCACAGTAGTCAGCCAGCATATTTTTGCAGTGAGTTCCTGTGACTCAAAAGATGTAAGGAGAAAGCTCTCAAAGGTTAATAGCAGATCACCAAGATATAAAGAAGTAAATGAAATTCACTTTATGAGACACACAGTAGCATAAACAAATTTGAGTAAAAGCTCATGTATTATGTTGTATTTACTGGTGGAAAAAAATAGTCCTAAACAAGTCCTGTCATAGTTTTAGGTGACGAAAGTCTATTTTTATATTTAATTAATTAACAGGGATAGCAGAAAGTCTAAAAAAGTTGCTAACAGACGCAGATATCACTGTCCGACAAAAATCAACAGAGTGCTTGTATGTTATAGGATGTAAGTATAAATCTTCATTCTTTTTTTTTCTTTTTTTTTGTGAATGATAATTTCAGTATACAATGAGATATGGTAGCACACCATAAAACGTTCACAAAACTGAAACAAGATGTAATGGCTTTTTAAATGCCCATATCAAACAACATTATATATAGTCAAGTCAAGACTTGACTTGAATTATAGACTGGTTGGAGACCACCAAAACCGGACAACCACCAAACCCGGACGGCCCCTAAAATGCTTAATTTAGTATTTTCTTTGTTCAGTGGTTGTCAGTCACTTTTTTATCAACAATAAATGCATGTTTCTTCTATAATTAAGTAAATAATTTTATTTCAACCTCCTTAAATGGTAATATTTCAATGTCTATTTCAAAAATGTTGACGTTGAAATTTGGGGGTCAAGAAAGCAATGCCTGACCTCATATACCAGCTATAATCATTTGCGAGTAAACAATAGAATATCCAAAACTTCAGCATTTGCTGCTGAAATATTGTTTATCATGTTGAAAATCACAAATCAAAACACCCAAGCTTTTATCTGAATTAAATCATGTCATGTACATATCTGTCCGGACACATGGTACTGTAGTGTAGACAATTTAGGTAATTTTGATACCCTCCTTGTGGAGCCTCAGATATAAGTGTCAATGCAATCAGAAATAAACAAACTAGTTTGTTAGATAGGAGAAGAACCTAGCTGAACTGTGTCAAATTTTTAGGTCTCAATTTAAAAATTATGAAATCTGTTCGGAAAAATGTTCAAAAAGTGTCCGGTTGATGGTCCCCGACCAGTATATTTAACCAATTTAAACAAAGAAAAAAGAAGAGTTAAATCAAACTCTTATTTCCATTGTGGTCTTTGAAACTGCAGATATGAATGCCTGTTGTGTGTTGAAACAAAATATTTAGCTAAATTTGGGAGAATATATGTTCATGTATATATAAGATTATGTATTTAGCAATATCATAATAACTTATAAGTAAATTAGTAAGTAAATTGTTTATTATAGTGACATTGTGTAAATTTTAAATACATGTACATGATAAAAATACATACAAAGACACCGACTCATTAGACCTATAAGTCACCTTAAAATAAATGAAAATATAGTGAGTATAAGCCATAGTCAACAGGATAAAGTCTGGTTGGACCTCACAGATGTTCCAGGCTACTTTTGATCTTTACTGGTTGCTCTTGCCTGTCAGTACAGTTTTGTTAAATGAGCTGTGTCACGACAAAACCAACATAATGGGTTTGCGACCAGCATGGATCCAGACCAGCCTGCGCATTTGCGCAGTCTGATCAGGATCCATGCTGTTCGCTATCAGTTTCTCTACTTGTAATAGGGTTCATAAGCGAACAGCATGGATCCTGATCAGACTGCGCGGATGCGTAGGCTGGTCTGGATCCATGCTGGTCGCAAACACACTATGTTAGTTTTGTTATGACGCGGCTCAAATGGTTAGACTAGCCTGTAACACAGATGTTATACCTTTCAGGTCATGCTATTGGAAGAGATGCATTTATTGAACACAATATAATTCCACCAGTATCAAAATTATTTGATGATAAAGTTGATGTTGCCAGGAAAAATGCTCATCAAGCTATTGAAATGATTTCTGAAACACCATTAGGTAAGTTGAATTTTAGACCCTCTCACTTTAACATTTTCTTGAAATAATTTGATGAATTCATTATGGCAAAACACATTACCAAAATATTCTCTGTTTAAGATTTTGAAACAATTACGTATTTAAAGAAAGCTCCTTGGGTTTTTTATATTAATTCATCCACTTAGACATGTGTCTGTAAGCATACATGTATGTTAGTGTTTATTCAGTGAGATTTAAACAATTAAGAATCCAAAGGAAGCAACTGGTAAGAAGCGATTTCATTGATTGGCAAATGATGTTGAACGCTAATTTTTTAATTACTGCTAAATTACATAATTTTTGAAATTTTATGTACCCTGTACATTACATTAAAAATTTACATCTTATTCAGGATCACAAAATATAAATGGTTTTGTTATGTTTAGTTGTTTGCTTATTTGGAACATTATTTTGTTTCATCAGGTGCTGAGGGTATTGTAAAAGCTGATTTGATCGGAACTTTAGTCATGAAGTTAAAAAGTGAATTGGAAGAAATAAAGGTGGGTAACTTGTATGGCTGATATATGTTGCTTTAAATACAAGATATGTGTGATGATATACATATTTGCTATATGTTCATTGTTAATATGGTAAAATGAGCACCAAAACAAATTTCAGACAGGGGTGTCTATGGCTAAAAATTGTTAAGTTGTTTATTTCAAACCTGACTTGCCCCTCACTGCTGTGAATTTGACTCGTGCCAGAGACTTTGGATTCTTTCATTTGAGGAAACTATCCAGCTTGCTTATTCGATGTTGGTGGTTCTACTCAGGTGCCCGTTCATGCCTGCATTTATGTTTGGAGGGGTACCTGAGGTCTTCTTCCATTAGTAAAGCTGGAAGGTTGCCAATGACCTTTACAGTATTGGTGCCGCATAAAACCCAACAAAGAAAATAAAGATTTCAGACATCCTTTAAATGTTGCCATTAGATTCAATGCATATTGTTGGCTCTTGAACAAACCTTATATTACCATTGAAATACTCACAATCTGTGGCAGAGTTGTCAATATTGTTGACTTTAATTTACTTACCATTTATCTATCAAGACTATACTTTTTCATGTGAAAAAAGCTATCCAGCTCACTTACAGAAGGTTAATGGTTCTACTCAGGTGCCAACTCGTACCTGGCGTAATGCATGAGGTTTTTCACTTACTAAAGATTGAAACTTTACCTTTAACCTCTACAGTGTCAGTATGAATCCCGACAAAAAATAGAATTAAAGCTTATAAAGTATGATTGCAATCATTTTCTCTTACAGAAACTTATATTAGACACATTACATTTCTGTATGCGTGTGGACACAGAAAAAGCCCTGAAAGCAGATGCAATGCAAGTGTTTACCTCCCTTCTTTCACACAAAGATCCAGCCATCAGGGCTTGTGCTGCACGGGACATCATGGATCTCAGGTAAATGTTGTATTTTCGTTACAGGTATTCAATTTAATTTTGGTAAAGCAGCACAAAATGTCAATGGTCAAAGGTCTATCGATATTCATATGATACTTTATTATGATTTTCTGCATTTTATCAGGATTTTTCTGCATTAAATTATCATGCATCTATCAAAAGCAAATGTTTCACATTGATAATAGTAGTTTTTATCAGCCCTTGACTATCAAACATTTAACTTTAAGCTAAAAGTTGTCTCCTCTACTTTTCGAACCATTCTTGTAGGAATTATTCAGACTGAGATTTCTGACTCCTTTGAGTTCCATTCCTTTTCATTGTCCTCTTACTCTATTGCCCTTGTAATGTCTCTGCTGTCAAATAAGTTTATGTTTCTTATGCACAACTTTTCCTCATCCAAGCGGTCACTGAATGTTTTAATATCTCAACTCTGAGAAATTTGTGTATTTGATGCATCAAAGTCTGTGTTATTGTATATATGTATATCACAGTGTATTTGTCAGAAATTGTTCAAGTTTTAATTCTTTTACATTGAGGTTGTTGAATTTCATTATAATTATGCAGCATTTGTCAGAACTTTATTGTGAATTGTGATAAATTATATATAGCATTTGTAAGAAATTAATTATGAATGGCTGTAACCTATATAGCTTATGTAAGAAACTGATTGCAAATTGTTATGACTTATAAGGCATGTGTCAGAATTTAATTATGAATTGTTGTTTAATTATATAATGTTTTTAAGAAATTCATTTTAAGAAGTTATGACTTATATAACATTTGTCAGAACTTAATTTTGAATTGTTTAGCTTTTGTCATAAGTTAGTTATGAATTGTTATGAACTGAACAGCAATTTTCAGAACTTTATGTATTGTATAGCATTTGTCAGAACTTAATTATGAATTATGGTTATATAGTGCTCCCCTGGATGGTAAGAACAAGGCTGTAGAGGTGAATGCTGTACCAGCACTGGTTGGTCTGCTAGAAGACAAATCGCCTGATGTTAAAGCTAATGCTGCAGGAGCTCTTATGATGTAAGATATTGTCATATCATTAAGTTCTGATCAGTGATTCCCTGATCTGGAAACTGCCGAATATAATTACATGTATGTTCTATTGGAAAACCTTTTCCCTACTGAAGATTTGTTGACAAATTTAGAATTGACTGTTTTTTGTTTTGTAAAAAAAATACTATTCTCGCAAATAATTTATCATGTTATTAGAATTTTACAATTGAAATTTTACTATTTATTATTTGAAATAAAATTGTATGCTTTTTTATCCAAGATTCATGTAAGCAGATTCAGTCACTTAGTGGTTTTGAATAATTTGCCCTTCTCTGCTGCTGCTTAAAAAATGTACGGGTGTCAGCAGTCCTTCAAAAGAGGAAGCTACATATGTACCTTACATATTGACTTTTAATTTGTTAATTTGACAATAAGCATCCTTGGCCGAGTGGTTAAGGTTGTTGACTTCAAACCACTTGCCCCTCACCACTGTGGGTTCGAATCCCGACAGGGACTTTGGATTCTTTCATGTGAGGAAGCTATCCAGCTAGCTTACGAAACGTTGGTGGTTCTACTCAGGTACCCATTCTTGCCTGAAATAATGCACGGAAGGGCACCTGAGGTCTTCCTCCACCAGTAAAGCTGGAACGTCGTGATATGACCTATACTGTGTCGATGTGACGTATAACCCAAAACAAACAAACAATAAGCATGGTTTGATAAAAATAGTGGATTGAAATAAAATATATTACGTCACATTAGTGCAGTAATAAGTTAACACCTATAAAATTATATAAGAAGTTAACCAATTATCTGCACTTTGGTGACAAATTATGTTTATTTTTATGAATCTGTCTTATTTCAGAATCACAATAACAACAAAGGGAAAGTACACAGCATTAGATGCGAAAGCAATACCACCACTTGTCTCCCTTGTTGATGATCCTACCAGTGAAGTGAGGGCAAATTCTTTAAAGGTATGAAATTTTAATGATCAAAAGATATTCAGATTTAACGGCAATTTAAAACAATGAGTGTCATGTTTATTGCCTTTTTGGATTCTAATTAATTTATATCAATATCCGTCTTTTTTCTCATAAATGCGAATACCACCAGGTCTATGTAAATTATTTTGAAAGGGCAAAAAATATGTACATTTGTTAATAGTTATTACAGGAAAAAAAGATGTAGATTTTCTAACACATTTGTGCTGTGACAGTTATTATATTTTCTAGGACCACTAAAAGCACAAAGCTAATTATGCATGAAACTAAAATTAACTTCTTAAGAAATGTTTTTTACTGTAAATAAAAGCTTGTTATTATAAAAAAGGACTTTTGAATACCACTTCACATATTTTACCCTTGACCTGAAGATTGTGTAAAATGGACTAGTCCTGCTATAAACTTTGAGCAGTCCATTTTATAATTCAAAGGTATTCAGCATCAAAATGCTTAAATTGAATTGACAAAGAATAGTCTAGTGAGACAGTTGAGATTTGCCAGCTGACCAGGCCCGAAGGTTATAAAGAAATTCACCAAGCTCAAACTCTGATCTCAGGTATATGATTGGTCATAAACTATCACAGAATGTACACTGACCAATGAAAATCCTGAGATTTGAGACAGAACTCGAAAGGAGTTTTATAACCTGCGGACCTGGTTCTACAGTTCTAGAATAATAATTCAAACTTTTTTTTACGTACATCTAAAGTCATGTCATTTTTATAACTACAAAGAACTGCTTTTAACATACAATTAAACAATGCTGTATAAATTAAGAGGAGCACTATAACTTTTTGTGCATTTATTTAACATCATTTAACCATTAGTAAAAATGTACTTTATGAAATGATGATGCACTTGCATGAAATTTATGCAAAACTGAAGTACTCTCTAATTGAAGTGGATAATTCAAAACATGTACTGAAACTGTCAGTTTGTCATACTGACTTTATTTGACTTGGTAAAGCTTTTAACTAACTGCACACTACTATAAGAATCTTTGAATATAAGTATGCTTGCTTGACATATACAGATCAAATTACCTTTAGTTTTCAATGACTTTTTATGATGCATATTATTATTTAACATAATTCCAAGCGATATTATATGTTCATTTTATTTTGTATATTTTATTCCCTGCTTATTTGCACAAAACAACTAGCTTTCAAATAACATTTTTGGATTATTCATAGTGCAAAGCCATTTACACTTGGTCTTCCATATTTGAGTGTCTGTTACTGCTGTGGGATTAAATCATGGCAAGGATTTTGTATTAGTTTGTTTATACTGATTTATTTAGTTTATGTTGGAAGCTATAAGCTTATTGAAACACTCTCAAGTCAGTTCCTGGAACCAACCAGTACTAAGCAATGAGTGTAAAGTTTTTTGCTCACAGAAACAACTGCTTGCCTCTTCATGGGGTTTGAGCCCACCCATCAAGTAATACTTAGATTACTAGTCTGGCGCACCAACCACTGTATTAGCATATTTTATGAAAGGTTGGTCATTCTACTCAGGTGCCACCTTGTGCCAGGATAATTCATGCACGGGTACCTGAAGTCTTCTTTTACAAGTTAATCTAGAAATACATGTAGTCAATAATATTTAAACCTTAGCAGTGACTTGAAAGACCTTGTTACCTTATACCTTTAGTCAGAACAAAATTTCAAGCTGACTGTCTACCTCATGAAGCTCTCTTATATAAGAAAGATGATTAAGCTATGCAACTTTTTTTTGTCTCATCTTTATATTTTTTGGATGTGCTTTAAATCAATTTATGCATTGTGCAGTAGCATCAAGAAATGTTTCATATTGGTTAGAAACAGACATAACAAAAATGAAAAAAAAGGAAAAGATATGGCCTTTTGGGCACGAAGCTGTAGGTAGATGTCATTACATTGGTGTTTTTTTTCTAGTATATCTAATGACAGCTCAAATAATCATTTCACACTTGAAATAACCGTAGCAAAACACTTTTCATTACTTACTTAATATAACTTTTATGTTATTAAATTTATAACCCTAGACGAAATCAACGTCTGAAAATGTCAAGTTTCAATATTATATTGAAGTTTTATTGCCGGCTGAATAAAAAACTGAAAATATGGATAGTCGTTTCGTGGGTTATAAAATTTACATTTATGAGTATATATTCATGTCAACGTGATACTGTAGTCGGTATTCAGAATAGTCGTACTGTATTGTATGTACTCATTTTTAATGTTGTTCAAAGCTTGAAAAGAAAGGAATTTATGCACTTGCTTGGTATTCACATTAAACATAAAATACAAGTTTTTGAGCACAAAAGTGAAGAAAAAGCACTAATTTGATATTCTTAAACAATGTGTATTACTGTTCTTACATATTAACTTACAAATTACCATAGTGTAGAAAAAATCCTATAAATACAAAATGGTAACTAGTTTATGAAAGTTAGTTTTAGGCATTGAAGTATGAATTGCATTTTTATCATTCACACATACATTGATTTATCAATTTCATGCATGCAGTGGTCTATCAATGTCGTGTATGCACTGGCTCTGTCCTATAAAGGGTGTTACTCATTAAGGCTGTTATTTATGGTTAACACTTTACAATAAATAATCCACATGTAAAAGTTTGTGTCATATATTAAAACCATTATCATACATATATGTATTTCCATATACTTGTGGTATGTAACATGTTGTTCATACTGCTGAAAAGAAACATATTATGTAAGACAGATGATGTTGTTGTTTCTTTCAGGCTTTAACATGTTTATCAGAGGCTCCAGAAGGCAGAAGTACACTGTTACAACATGTTGACAAGGTTTGTATCTTGTTTTGTTTGATATTCGTGTATAAAGCTTTATTTTAGTCATTTATATAATGTAGCTTTATTGAATACACACAAACATGCATTTTTTTCACTAACTCAACAAAGAGAAAATAATGTTCAAGGAAAATGACCCAAATCTTCTCAAAGTCACTCATGAGCAAGAACATTAATGAGCAAAATCACTCATTAGCTATGTCCTTTATGGGTTATGGGAAAGATTATGGATGAGTAAGATCACTTATGAGCAAGGCTAATAATAAGCAAGATCACCAGTGGGGAAGTTCACTTAAGACCAATGTCACCTTCAGTGAGAAAGGTCACAAACAAGATAACAAGTCAGCAAGGTCACCTGTAAGCAAGGTCACTTATGAGCAAGGTCACTTATGAGTAAGGTCACTTATGAGTAAGGTTACATGTGAGCGAGATTGCTACTGAGCTAGGTCACTGAATTATGAGGAAGACTTTTTTTGAATGAGATTTCAAATAATTAGAATCCTTATTAAGCAAAGTTTGAGCAAAATCTGAGCTTTGCATTCTGTATGGCTAGCTATTTTCCCTATCTTTTCCTGTGCAATAAAATCTTGAGGAAATGTTTGATATCAAACTAGTTTATAGTCAGTTGTTGCACTGATGTGACAGCTTGCTGGTCCAGAAATGCGGTCTCTTTTGGTTTAACACACAAAAAGGTCTACAAATGTATATAGATGATAAAATGCATTTTGAGAAAAATTAGGACTCCTCAAATCATTTAAGTTAGAAGCTATACAACCTTATCATTATTTCAGAAAAGACCTCCTATTTAGGTAAATAAACTAAAAGGTTTACACTGGTTGCACTTATTATGCATAACCCTATAAAAAGTTTTCTTTCAAGTGGAATGAAATTTGAATTTCTATCATTCATATTGGCATATTTCAATGAGATATAAAACTTACTGTCAAACTGGATCATACAGATGTCTTTCTTCCAGTCATCAGGGAAATGAATTCTTCCCTATAACTACTTTATGATTCAGTTTAGATCAGTTTAAATCTATAAAATAAAGACACAATGCAACTATCAAAAGCCAGACTTGTTATTGTGTGTTCACATACAAGGATATAATATAAAGCTTAGAGATTATCAATCATGAGTTTTTGACAAACTAGAAAATGTAATTTACAAGAAAACAAGGACAATGTTAACCCCCTGAATTTCTGTAATGGACTTGCCCTGCTTTGAATTCAGAATGGCCAATTGTGAGATTTAGGGAATTCAGGACCAATTTCATTATGTACTAAATTTGAGCAGCCAAAAGTATATAATTGGGATGTACAGGCTAGTATGAAGGAATTTAATATCAGAGTCTAGTGTTTAAGGTGTCTACCTCTGACGCAAGGAATCATGCTGGGTTTTAAGCCCTACTGGAGTCCTGACCAAGTTTCTTCATATGACACCAGTCCTGGCTAGTTCCAATACACAGACTTTAGCGCAGTTTAAATGAGCGTCAGGCTTGGCTAAAAAAGTATGTTTAATACTGCAAGTTAGTGAGGGCTTGCTCTATTTCAAGTGTCACAGGCTGGTCAATATCAGTTCAAAGCTCTGTAAAAGTAAGTTAATGAAATTATATATATGGTACAAACTTTTGATAAAAAAAGCAATGAAAATCACCACCAGACACAGGCTGAACTTAAATCTCTGCAACAAGAAACACTCAGATTGTATCAAGATTTTACAATTAGAATCAAAAACCCTGACTATAAAAGGATTTGTAGAAATTACATAGTCTAGGTTTTCAGGTTCTGGTTGTAAATTTTTTTATAAAAACAAGAGAACTATATTGTATTACAATAAATATCTAAATCACATTACTTTTATATGATTATTTTGCGGCCCTCAGATTATCTATGTGCATACTTTTATAGACTTGTTTCAAAACTGATTTGATTACCTTAACTGGATATTCAATATACTCTACTCATGTCATGTTTTGGTGTTTTAACCCTTAGTGAGCACCCTTAGCCTGGTGGCAGTGACTTGAATTGTCAATGCTACCAGTCCCGGCATGCCTGTACTGTCTGGATCATTGTCAGCACTGTATATGATTGAGTCAGTGCTTATTTTGAACTTTTATTTAGAAATGATGAATGGTTTTGTCTAAATTAAAAGATATTTGTTATTAAAGACTGCTCAATTAAGAGGGTATAATCTATTAAAATCTGCATCGTTTGTACTATCAATCATGCTAGGATGTTTTTTATTTGAATTTCTTCTTAACAAATGATAATGTTTTACAAAAAGACATAAAGTATTTGATTCAACACTGACCTGCAGTTGGTTTTTAACTTATTTTTTCTCTGTTTATTTATGGTAAAACTTTGATTAAAGCATTGGATTTATGCTAAAGATTTCAAAGTAAATCTTACAAAAAGACATTCTTTGACAAAAGCAATAAATTTATAGATAAATTACCTACGACCATGTGTCAAATCTTCTTTGTTTTACATTTGTTTTATGACTGCACTTTGGTGCACGTAAACTTTATGATAGACAGGTATTCTTTTTTTTTTGTTGTTGTTTTTTCAAAATTTGAAAACAAGGTGAAATATTTATGATATGATTTCTAAAGAAATTCAAGTGGCTCAAGGGAAAAAGGATCATCTGGCGCATAAAATGTCCTGCTAGTGATGACAATACAGTAATATGTGATATCTGTTGTTATAGAGTCCGAATATCATGGTTTAACCTTTACCTGCTATATACCTTTAATTGACTTTTCCATATTTCAATCTGGACAAGATCATTCATTGTTTTTAGTGAAAATAACAAAATAAGTACTGTCTGAATATCATTGATGTGCCTGCACTTGTCACATGCAGATTAAAGGTTAATGTTCTTATAAGTGAGGATCTAGCCACAAGAGAGCAAATTGAAAATCATATTTTTGTGATGTTCTTAGCCCGATTTGATTGAAATATGTTGCAACGCTTTTCAATTTTGTGTCAATTTTCACAATTAGAATAATCATTCTGGGTGAGCGAAATACTATGAAAAAGTGTGCACAAGTTAATAGTCTAAACCTACATAAAATAGAAAATTGATCTGGGAAAATATTCTTATGTTAAAACATATATCAGTTTTAATGTTATGTTATGAGAAACAGTAAACCATAACTGTGTCTCTATTTCTATTTTTAGATCAAGAAACACCTTACTGATGAGATTCCAGCTGTTGCACGAGCTGCCCAGATCGCTGTTCGAGTCATCGAATGGAAACCATAGACGTTCATTACTTCTCAACATATTTTCTTCATCCATTTGTACACACCTCATAAATATGGACATTAAATTTTTAACTTTTTTGAGGCAATGATACTGTCAAAAGATATCCTAATATCGTTATTCAATTATAAATTAATATTCACATCAGAGTGTGAAATGAAAGTTGCAAGATTTTAATTTTCGTTGATCTGTGAAAATCATGTTTTTGATATTTTTAAGTGAAATAACAGGTGACACACATTGGAAGTAAGGACACCTTTTTTACAAGCCACTGAACATGTTATAAAATTAACTTTTTCTTCTTTTTTATCAATGTGTTAAAAGTTGTGTTACCAATTGTTATTTGTATAGCATAAACTGTTGTTATTCAAATGTCAAACATCCATTTTTATATGTAAAAAACAACTGTTTTATTTACGTTATGAGAAAAAAAGAAGCTTTTTTATCTAATATAAGAGAATTAACTTTTTCATTTACCAAAAGAAAAAATACTGAAGGTTTTATTGCAATTTTTTTTTCCAGTTTTTAATTTTCACAATAGATGAAATCATTTATGAAATTGTATGTTTTAACTTTTTTTTGCCGGTATACATGAGAAACTTTTGTTCTTCAAGAAAAAATAAATTTATTTGTTATGACATAGATTAAAAGCTTTTTTTTACAATGTTTTTAACATTTAAATATCATGTTTTTATGATTCTACTTGTTAAGATGTGTTATGAATTTTTTGTTTTAGTCTACATGAGTGTCTGCATTATCAACATTTTTTATTTTACTGAAATTAGTACTGTAAACTATCTGTGATAACTATATACATGTATAAAATATTGTTTTTGAAAAATGATACAAAATAAAGATATTTATAAAGTTAAAAGTTGATTCATTATATGTGTATTATGTCCATTCTTTTTTATGTTGTTATGAAGAATTTAAAAGTACTGAAAATATCTGAAATCATGACAATAATATTCCTTTTCTTGCCCTTGCACTAAATAAAAAAAGAACGGTCTTTAATGAAAATATTATAAAAATAATAGAATGTAACACAAATAATCGGGTGGAAATTATATTAATAATTTTGTACTTTTTTGTGTACCAGTTTGTATTTGTATATAATTTGTAACTTTAATGCCTTACCATGCTAAATATATATACCGTAATGGACTTGTTCATCTTTCAATCTATACAAAATCATTTATTTATCATTTTTAACTTGACTATAGGAAGTATATATGTAGAGCTGTCCTATTCATCCCGGTGTTAGTGTCTGCATCCAGATTTAAGATTAAAGTTTTTATGCAATAAAATTTTTTCTCTAACTTTTTTATTTCTAAAGATATCAAATTCAAAACTTCAAATATACATTCCTCACCATCAACCACATCATATGTTACATTGTCACAAGGTTCATAACTCTAGAAGCAATCTCCCCTTGAACATTTATTTGTTTTCCCTTTAAAAAAGTTATTTTTTACAATAACATCTGTACTACTTAAAATGTTTACTTAAACCTTCAAAAATATGTTCCTTATCATCAACCATACCATCTGGGCCAAGATTCATTTCTCTAGCACCAACAGTTCCAGAATTATCCCCCTTGAATTGAGAATTTCAGTTATTGATTTTTTTTGTTTTTTTTTACTCAAATTTATTTATTTCTTAGAGATCTATTTAAACTTCAAATACTTGTTCCTTATCAACAACCAAATTACATTTGACAGTTCCTTATCATCAACCACATCATAATGATATGACAAAGTTTATAATATTTTTAGAATTATCTGCACTTTGAAAATAGAATTGTCCATACTTTTTCTGTAACTTTTTTTATTTTTTCAGAGATTTACTTCAAACTTTAAATATAATGTATGTTATCATCACCTACATCATATATGATTAAATTTATAAGTCTAGCACCTATATCTCTAGAATTATCGCCATTTTGAACTTGGATTTGTTTTCTTTTTTTTCTTGTTCTTTTTTTTTTTTTTTTTAAGGAATTAACACATCGAAATAGTTAATCAAAGCTAATGCCAAACTACACATTTTTGACTGTATTGTAACAAATGATCATTAACATTTTTTCTTTTTAAACTTTTGTAACATTTTTTTTTCTTGATAGTAATTCCACTTCTTGAGCATTTAAATATTTAAGCTTTCCATTTTCTCTTGTCTTCATTGGCATGTTTTTACATCAGCTTATTTTCTTAATTCTGAGAGGAATTCCTCGGAAAATTTTCTATTTAAATTTTGATTAATGGCTTTGATAAAATTATCAAAAAATTGAAATGAATCTCCGGAAAACTCTGTCAAAAATGAAGTAAATCAAATAATATTTCTTACGATGATCTAATTAGGTTATCAGGAATCTGGTTACACATTAAATATTTATTATGAAATTCCCCGCTCCAGATGTAATCAGATGAATCTCATTGTTATATATTTTCTTCAAATTTTCTGATTTCTGTTTTTACATTTAACCTTATCATGCCAGAAGAAGAAATAATCTTGAAGTTTAGCCTATACAATTATATTTATAAAAGATTAATGAGGGCTATTCCTCATTCACATATCTAATTGAATTTTTAATGTAAAACTACACAAAAAATGTAACCCCTAATCTTTAAAAACATGTCAGACAATTTTCAAAGTGAAGTTTTTTCTTCCTTCAAAGAGAAGAGCTATAATTTATGAGCATTTAACCTACCCCAAAGATAAGATAGGAGGCTAACTGTTTTGTATTACAAAATAGTCTAGTGCTGTAGATTTTATCTTTTGTGAAATTTCAATTAAAATTTATAAGAGTGTGTCTGGTTGCTACATAAAAAACATCCTATGAAATACATCACTCAAAACTGACCTTGCCTCAGTAAAGTTTGTAATACAGTCTATATTGTATACCATGGGTCTTATAACATAAAAAATATCAGAGAAAAGATTTTCATGGGCGTGTGTCTCAATTATTTATATTGTTATTTTTTTTGTAAACAACTAACGTGTTAGATTTTTTTAGCCAACATTTGATCAGATTGATCAGTATTTTCAAGGAAGTCATTAATTTAAGATTTTGTTAACCCTTGTTTTTTCATAATTTAGACTGACATCCTTGTACCAACATACTGTAAGCTGTTCAGTTTAAGGTTTTTAATATTGAAATTTTAAAAAATCACAAGGGTAAGTTCCAAATTCACAGCAAGTGTAAGGGGTTAAAATGTTGAAATTCTGTTTATAAAAGACAATGTAGGGAAGGTGTAATTCTCTGAGTATTAATTAACCTTTTCCATGCGGACTTGTCCATTTTTCCATCTCGACAAAACCAGTCCTCATTTTTAGGGAAAGTTTTCAAAGTAGGCATATACTGACTGAATAGTGGACAGTGCAGGCTATGATGCCAGTGTGGCTGCTGATCTTTACTCTACATAGGTCGCATGGGTGGCATCGGTAAGAGTCAGTTGCGGCTGTCAGAATTGAGTATTTCACAGAGCATTTTTTAACATCACAGATCAACAGTTCAGACCTTGTAAAAATAAGACAGTTTACCAGTAGACTGTTGAATTTATGTAATGGATTTGCCCAGCTCTTAATTTGGAACAGTCCTTTTTGTTATTTATTTAAGAAATTTCAATATCAAAATAGAGGATATTGAATGAGTTGAATGAATGGGTTCAATATGGAGTTTTTTGAACGAGTTGAATAAAATTATATTATGCAAGGCTCTGGCAACCCAATGTTATTTTATTCAACTCGTTCAATAAATTTTACATAGTAATGAACCTACATGAATTTAATATTCTATTTTTCACATACCCAAAATAAGAACTGTTTACAGTAGAAACTGGAAGATCACAAACAGACAAAACCATAGTGTAACGCTATCATGTTTGTATAATGCAAGTGATATCACATCAAAATACAATGTATATGCATGGCTGTGCCATACCATTTTTACAGAGTTGCAAAAGCGGCACGGGTATGTAACAAAGCAGCTTGTTTTATATTGGAACCTTTACTTCTTATATCTCCATAGTCACTCTTGTAACATCTCCAGACAGTCCATCCACATAAAGAGTTGAGTAACACCTGCAGCTGGACTACTCCCTGTAATGCCCATTATCATTATACTTTAGAAATTCAAATTACAAATTTTAAGTTCTTTGCTACTTTTTTTTCCTAATCAATCATGTTTCTTATGATAAGATATAAAGAGTTTGGTTTTTCATTCTTCTATAATTCTACAAAATATATGATCATTTATAATGTGGTCGTACAATTCAGATCATTAATGTACTCAGTATTCCCAAATTTACATTTGTCTCCAAAATAAATGTTTCATTTAACACTGCTGCTTAATATTCATATATTTTAAACGGTTAGAAAATTAGTTTTTCAAGTTGCTAAAGAAGGAATTATATTACCGCTATAGCATATTGACAAAAGTTTCAAATAGGGTCATACCATCAAGTACCTCAATTTACCAAATGCACAGCCAAATGAAAAGGTATGTTTACAAAGCTCTGTATAAAAGACTCTTTTTCCTTTATTTGCACCTCTTGAAAAAAAATATACAAACACCCATCTATTGATGTAAGCTAAGGATCTCCTTTTCAAGTGTTTAACTATATTTTACGCAATATAAAAGAAAACTAAATTAAGATGTTATCTATCATAAAAGAAACGTTTTTTTTCTTGTGTTGAAGCTTCAAGATGCCTTTTTATCAATTATTGCGTCCAAAGATTTTTAAAGTGCACCAAATGTCTATTTACATTTAAAGCAAGGGAGGAATGTTTGAAATTCTTGTATTTTTTTTTTATTTTCGCATGGCATAGAGCAAGTATATTAGGTACAAAGAACATGAAAATTGCATTATAATGAAAGGTGTATACTCCACCCTAACGCCTAACAATGATACTTAAATCAAATTAAAGTCTGATTTTAAAGAATAAAACTTTTGAGACTACAAAGTTAAGCGATGTGATGACAAATGTGTGTGTGTTTTTTTCCAGCATCAAGAATACCTAATAGTATGTACTTTAATCTGGGCAGTATATATTTCTGGTTCTTCCCCTTACTTTTGAAGATTATAATTATATTCCTTTCAAAAAAGAAAGAAAAGAAATTTGCTTGTCTGCTATGGTTGGGTTTTTATAATTCACCATTTTGTACAGTTCATGAACAGACTCGGCAAAACCAAGTGTACAATTTCTCTTCTTACAATATTGTAAACTTAAACAAATGAATTTAAAGGATGTCTGCAATTTCTTCATTCTGCAGTTTTCTAAATTTTACTCTAAAGTGAACTCAGAAAACTTTAGTAAAATCAAGTCTGCCATTTTTCGCATTCCATGATTCTGTAATTTTGTTATTGCTGTTGAGTGACTTAGACAACATCTGTCGAACCAAGTCTTCATTTCTTACAATTTTGTTATTTCTGTTAATAGTTGTCAGACTCAGTCAAGTAAATGTTCAATTTTCTCCTCTTGCAATGTTGTTATTTCTCTTTGGTAAACTGAAACCAAATTTGCAATTTTCACTTCTTGCAAAGTCAGCATTTTTTATTTCTGACAATGTTGTTTTTACTCATGAGGGATTTCAAACCAAGTCTGCAATTTTCATTTCTTATGATATTGTTTGTACTAATGAGGGAAGTTATTATGTTGTTTTACTCATGACGGATCTCAAACCAAGTTTGCAATTATTATCACTTCTTGTTCATGAGGGATCTTCCCATCTTACTTGTAGTATCTGAGAGGGACCTTAGAGCAATTTACATCCCAGATCTTAAGTGAAAAACATTTATATAAAATTGTACCAACTTTAATTATAATACATTCATTTTATTAGGAGATGGTAACTGTCTTTACAGCTGCAGTAGA